AGGGAAGTTGGCATGAAAGTTGTACAAATGCTAATGACATTGATGTGAATTATTTTGCAACTAATTAACATAAATATGTAAATAATTTGATCCCTAGTTTGTTCTATTTTCAGTGAGAAACAAACATTCTCTTGGATTCAGTTTTTCCATTTTTCTTATTACTGTTTTCAATTTTGAGACTGATTCATAGGTAATTTGAAAATATTTACGATCGCCTAAGTTTTAGTGTTTCAGTTTCGTCTAAAAACAAAATTAAAGCTAAATTTGTCAAAATTTCTCATAAATTTTAGTAGCTGTGGTCTAAAAACAAAAAAAAAGCATCCGGAAATCTCAATCTTTCAATGCCATGAAACCACTATAATTTAAGCTAAATGATCGTTGTTCTAAAACTTCTTAAGGGATTTTATGTATTTTTCGTGAGGAGACATGACTACAAAAGGAAAATGCCATCGATTCTCAGTGACAAAGACAAATTCATCCAACATAATTCGCTAGAAGACATTCAAAAGTTGCAAAAACTGTAAACGTGGTGGAAATTCTCAATATATGCGATGAAATCAATAAGAACAGAATAATCACAATGTCAGCAGGCAACATCTAGAGATAATGGTTCGTTTACCTATCTGCAGTATGAATGTGTTTTTTCCCTTAAGGTCAAATAACCATCATGTAGCGACGAGTTATATTTAAGCAAGGCAAAAAATCAAGCCCAGTAAACAAGGAAATGAACGTCTGTCATTAAAATGGGGGAAACTATGAGGAAGAAAGAGGTTGAAGGTTAAAATGTGAAGGTTATGGTAGAAAACTACACAAAGAACGCGTTGACCCTTTTATCGACCAAGGTAGACACAGTAGATAGACATATTTCCTTTGAATACATACGTCCTGTTTCCTTATGTTGATACCTATAGCTTCGGGTATGGATGTGAGACGAAATGGTATCCATTTAAAAAGATTGCAGGGGGGCATAATATTCCACTGAACAGATGTAATCTACCTTGATCCGATTTCCCTTACTTACTTTACTAAATGCGAAAGAATTGTACTGTTGATACACTTTGTCATTTCTTTCCCTTACCAGACACGTACGTACATGTTCAAGAGTACGTATTGACAGAGTTTTTTGAATCTAGTCTATGTAATTAGTTCCACAGGAGCAGTTGAACATGTTATGATCGGTAGTACAACCTAACAGTCTACGAGCTATATGAATTTAACACGCAAATGAAACGACTTTAACACACACCAGAACGTCAGCCATCATAACAACAATATCACCGACACGCTAAGACAAAAGATAAGGCGAACCATTGAAAGAGTACTTTTTACTGTCACAACAGTAGTTAATACAGTTGAGAGGAATGCTAAACGACTCTGACAACGCTAAATCCACATATAGGTTAAAATAGCTAACAATCAATGAGTTCAGCGTTTAGAGTAGAGGGAATAAAAATTATCAACGGTGTGAAAATAGCCGTGTAGGTTATTTTAAGGTTATAGGCAAAACATTAGGTGAAAGTTATGCAAAATCAGGGGTATATAACAGAATTCACAAATACACACATCGAAGTGTGACTATCATTGGTAACCTATCCTTGGTTCGCTATTTAATTCATTAAAATCTATGAAATGCGAAAACTCACATTTGTATGACTTCTGAATATACACAAATTAAATATTCCACTGCATCTCATTATCTATATTGTTCATCGATATATAAATTAGCTAATACAATCGTAAACCAATTATATGAATTTTCTTTCAGATACTTTTGAATTCATTGACTACTTCAATAGCATCAACATTAAACGTATACTTTTCGTTGATATGCTTTGAAGTAAAATTTGATATTCTTTGTGATTATGCACCTTTATATAATCTCATTTTCTTTCTTTCCCCCCCCCCCAGCCATACTTCCCCAAAGAAAAAAGTCTTAAATAATTGGTACTGTGATGTAATTAACCTATGAAAGGAAGTATTTCCAGCAGTTCAATAACATCCATCCTTAAGACTGTTGTTACTCGACGTTGACAAGTTACATGCGAAATTTTTGGCTAACGATTTAATAAGCACATTTCCCGGACATAAGAGAGATAAGAGATAACATTCAATTAATGTGTCATAGGTGGGATGACACAACATGTTTAGTAGGTATCAACACCGCGCAAGGTCATATCAATTTACAGTAAGAAGAAGAAAAACAACTATCATCTTCTGGATTCATTTCGGTAACTCACACTGGGATCGCTGATGCACATTTCATCTTATTCGTGACTTGTCAACTCGATATACCTGCACCGCAATGAGCGATAGTTTCCCCAATGAGATTCAAACATAGTGCTCATCGCTGCAAACGACAAAAGCGTCATCCAATAAGCCACTTGATACTTGTAATTTCCGATTACTATACAGCGTCGAATTGATCGACCTCTATTGACGCGTTCTGGATTCCACTACTAGTGACTAAGAAAATGAACACAACGTCATGAATATCCGACAACACCAAGGTATCCGCATAGTTCATCTGCAACAGAAGATGAAGAATATAAGTGTAAAACTTAGGCACTGTGGTATGATGCGATTCCATATTAGATCTGTTTGTTTGATACATAGTACAATCGATTTTTGCAGCTGCGTCACCTCATATTCTTTGTTTTTATTGATAACGAAGTTTTCCATATCTCTGGTATAGGTTTTGCGTCATTCCCATGACGTGTCGGGTGTTGATTTGATGAACAAAAATTCAGTAATCAATCTCTCTAGTTACCTAATTATATTGGACAGTGGTTTTTCCCTACCCTATCATGTGGCTGTGTGTTAATTAATGCATGAACTGCAATAGCCGAGTCTTTTTCTAGATTATTGATCTTATTTGGGTCTGTCATTCTATATTCAACTAAATTTCTATGTCCCGCTAATCTGACTGACCGCGACCGTCTATTTCGACCCATTTCCTTAACCTCACAGTCATTGCATGGAATTTGGTAGTTTAGATTATTTCGCTTAATTGGTTTTGTCAGGTCCTTAACCTGATAAGACTTATCTCTGAGTGAGCTTGTAGGTTCAAATGCCACTCTAAATCTGGCTTTGTTGAGGATCCTACGTAAGGTTTCTGATCTTCCTTTCTTATATGGTAGCACAGTAGACGTTTGCAACTCGTTTTTTACTTGTGTCATCGTTATTATTCGTATTCCCATTACTGCTATTATTTTGTTTCTGATGTGTTCATACGAATTTCTTGATCAACAGTAGAGGACAATCATCAATGCTTCTCTTATATGTTATAATTCTTCATTTAAGTTCTTGCACTGATTGGTAAGATTTTTAGTTCTATCACTTAGACATTTGACTAAACCTACCTTAACTGATATCGGATGAGATGATCTGAAGTCTAGATACTTGTTGGAATGTATTGGTTTCCTGTAGACAGTAGTATCCAAACTACCATTTTATCATCATCATCATTTTATCCTACAATCCAACACGTGTAATTCTTAGTTTATATGCATGAGGAAACTGTTGATATGTTCCGATTTCAACATAGTGTATCATCCATGTGTCGCCACCATATCTAAAACTTCGTAAAGCCATATTTTCCCACCTATCTATAAATATATCTGTTACGATTGGGGATATTGATGATCCCATTGTTTCTCCTTCTGTTTGTGCATATATTTTGTCTTGAAACTTGAAGATTTCAGAGGTCAGACGCAACTGTAAGCTTAATATAATTCCATCAACCAATTTTTTAGTTCTGTGAATAAGTTCTAAGTCAACATTTAGTTGGTTTCTGCCTCTATTGCTGTATTGATTGGTATTCTAGTATAAAAACTTGTTACACCGAAACCAACCATTTTTTTTTCTTCCTCTTCTATGTGTAGGTCATTAAGTCTTTGTTTTAATCGGTAAGAACTGACTAGTTTAGAATTTGAACGGTTCCTAGTAGGATATAATATCGATGCTAAGTTCATAACGTTGGGGTATTTCGGAAGTGAATTATCAGTCTAGTCGGATAATCTGGTTCATGAACCTTAATAGTGCCATAAATTCTGCTACAATTATTGGCATAGCAACGGGAAATTATAATTATCGAACAAAATAATCTTCCTTTATGAACATAATATCAACTGGAAAGGAAGGTGGATCGGTCAGAAAATCAGCCTATAGGAATATTTCTAGGAAAGACTGAGGACCTCTAGAAGTAACCACTACCATAATAATGCTCTATAGAGGCAAATACACTATTACTTATAATATATTCGATTATCTGAGTGATAAAGACTACTTGATAACCCGTCCTTAGAATAACTAATTTACCAATCATTCAGTATAACATGTATCCCCCAGTACATAATGGAAGTCAGTAATCATATACTGTTTTAGGCCTTAGCAATATGCCACACATTTTGTGTGAGCGCCGATCATTCTTCTTATCTGTCTGCTCTGTTCTTAAGTATTAGATGGTACGCACGATTTTAAGTAATAGCTAACTCGTACACCGCATACAGTTGACTCCGGAAATCCCAGACGAAAATAGAGAGAAGGGAAGATTGATCTGGATGGATGAGTTTATTATTTCCGAAAACATTAGGAATACCGAAATCTAAATCCACTAGATAACCTTGTGTACATCCGTGGAGTAGGCAGTGAGCCACATCTATTGTATGAGGGCTAATGAACCCCCCCCTAGGCTGCCCAAAACCTCCGTAGACGGAGAGGTGTTCAAACCAGTGACCCATTAGCTGAAAGTCAACTCCAATATTAGAGATGTATATATTTATGTGTATATTTACAAGAAGTAACCTTGTCCAGAGTTTGTAATGTTAACATATTACAAGCAAGCGTCAACCAATCAGCGATTTACTTTAGATAGGGGAAGGAGGAAACGAACCACTGACTATGGGCGCGAAAACAGTAATTTGACAATGTACAAGTTAATAAATAATGTTTTATGCAAATCTTAGACCTCCTAACACTGATCAAACCACATCAAGTGTAATTTGGTTCAAACCAATAACCTACTGGCTTAAAATTGAGCCTGTCATCTAACAGGCTATAAATATGCTACGCGCTAGTAAGTCGAAAACATGAGATATGGAGACCGTGTTAAATTTAACACCAAAATTAATATCTTATATAAATGATTGAATTACAATTGTAAACATATGCCACACCAGAATCTATAGGTTTGTAAGTAGAAGATCAAATGGCTTATTTTAGGCATTTATTAACTTCAGTCGCTTGTTTAATAAATTTATTGGTAAACAATGAAACTAGATAGGATTTGAATAAACCGCTCACAGTCCTACGTCACCCTTTCAATATTAGGCATAATTTAAACAAGATAATATCTCAGAAAAATGACTAAAATAAGTCTATATATATAATTACAATCCACTAGATGGCGTAGAATAATGCAGAATGTAGTCAATTTTACGAACCAACACTTTTCTTTAATTTCTCATCGAATTTCTTTGCTTTGAACAATTCAAAATCTTTCTTCTTATCGAATAAGCTGATCTAAAGAAGAGATAAAGAGAAGAAAATGTACTTAATTACTCACTACATATATTAGTCACTTTGAATTGACAGATGTGTATATACAAATATATACAAATCACAACTTATTTTGGATGCTTCAATCAGGTACGTGCACAATGTGCACCTGATGCTAAAACACCAAAAGAAAGAGGGGTGGGTGAGAACTTAAGGAGACCAGAAATATTGGCACTGACGGATTTAAAAAAATGACAATTATATAGCATTATCATTTGACTATTGGAGATAGCTATGGTTTGGCAGACTAGTATTTATACCTGGTGATTGAAGGTCAAATGAAAATTTAGACTAGTCTGCTAAACTACGGCTATCTTAATAGTCAAATGATAATCAATATGACACTCCCCCTCTCCGATTAGTTAGATTTCGACTGGGATGAGAAGTCCTGACTAGGTAGCCAGTGTGAATACGATCAAGCTGTAGTAACGCTTCACGAATTCACATGGTTGTCGGGCAAAACCATGGTAATTGAAATGAAATAAAAATCTGGTCAGCAGTCGAACCTCGTAGCTCAGTTGGTAGAGCACCGGGCCAGTTACCCAGTGACCTCTAGTTCGAACTCGGCAGCGGTGCAAATTTTCCTTACACCTCCAATCATCACCATGTATAAATAGTTTGAGTAATTACCGAATCGGATAAAAGCAACCTGACAGTAGCTATGGACAAATTTAATGTGTGGGTTTGTGGGGATTTAGTGATTTTTTGAAGTTGTATTCATCATGGACTGAGATCAGTTCGAGGAACATTGGAACCTGGGAGCACTGCACAGCTGTTTCGCCGTAGTATGGGACTTCAACGTAAAACGCACCCATGAACCTACCACGCCAGGGATCCGGGACATTCAGGTTCCGTGGCCACCGTGTTACTATTGCTCCCAGGTTCCAATGTTCCTCCAACTGATGTCAGTCCATGATGAATAATGACATGAAAAACGTTACGGATGAGGCGGATTAACTGTAAGGAGTCATAAGCATATTGAAACACGATCATACAAGGAAATTAGAAAGCCTACAGACACAGTTATGAATCAGGTTGAAAAGATTGAAACGTCAACAGCTGACCTGATACGACAAACACAGCCATCTTTTAGTGGGTCTCAGTGTTATAATTTAAGGCCTAAAACTAGTAATCCAAGTAGAATGTATGGTAGCATTAAGGTTCATAAAATAGGTTATTCTATATAGTCAATAGTTAACTTTAGAAACAACAATATGAGCTATCTAAAAATTCAGCATCCACACTATCCATCCATCCAAATCAACATAAGACCAGGCATTACTGCCTAACAATCCAACTTGCCACACCTCATATCACTACATCAAGTAAAAAGACAGTCAACTGTAAGACAAAGAAAACAAAATTCACTCAAAAGAAATATAAACTACTAAAATAGAGAAAGGAAGAATGAGAAAATGGTGAGATTCGGTATAGCGTCGTTAAGATGAGGATAATGTGTGTCGGCATACATCTCCACCACTGACATCGCTTCTGAACTACATCAACTAGAGTCACTCTACAACCACTGCTTGCCTCTTGTCCCCCCAACCCCAACCCACTAGTATGCATCGCCCCTCACTCATGGCTTAAACCAACAGTCAAACACTTCATACATTGGTGCCATGCTCTAGTCGGACCACCTCGAGCCTTTTACCATCCTCAACCTACTTCCCCCAACATTGTGTGTGTGTGTGTGACGAGGCAATCGGCGACTCAGCATACGTAACAAATGTCCCAACCAGCCATCTCAGTCGATGAAGGTTCACAACCTCGTCAACTCACCTACCTCTTCTCCATTAAACTCTACACCTACACCTCCGACACCTACACTACACCTGACTTCTGCATAACTCACATGGTGACACCATGGAATACGGTGGCCTATACTACGAAGGCAATGATGGTCAAACACCTGAAGTCAGCTTTCTCATGTCTTCCACCTTCAATCGCCATGTTTCACAGCCATACAGTACAACAGAGTGAACTACTGTGCAGTATACCCACCCTTAATAGACAATCGGATATCACGGTGGCGCCATAGGTGGCGTAAGTTGGCGAAAGCCAGTTGAGCCTTTTATGTTTGTACAGAGATTTCATCGGCCACTGAGCCATCAGAGCGGGGCTGATCCTACTTCCCAGATAAGTGAAGTGGTCGATACACTCAACCACTACACTGTCTATTGTTAGTCACGGCGGGGCACCGTTGAAGACCAATCGTGAGGCAACAATTTGCATTTGGGTGATGAGAAATGCATCCTAAACATTCTCAAATTGCCACTCAGTGTCCAGAAGACTTTGTATCTTGTCAGCATCTTCACCTAACAGGACTATGTCATCTGGATATTCTAGGTCTAACGAAAACTCTCCTGCGATTAGGTCAACGACTGTGTAATCAGGTGACGAGAGGGAGACCTCAATAAGAATATCTATGACTAAATTGAATAAGAATGGTGACAGTGGGCAGCCTTGACGGATACCACTCGATGAGCATAGCTCCCTGGACATCTCATCGTAGGCTCTAACACGCCCACAAGTGTTCGAGTAGAGAGTTTTCAATAAGGTGATGTACTTACTCGGTACGCCGTTCACTGAAAGACATTACGATAAGACTTCCCGATCAACGGAGTCGAATGCCGCCTTCAGGTCGAGAAGTACAGCTAGTGTCGGGTATCGACAAGCGTATCTGTGTTCCAAAATCTGGCGCATTATGAATATTTGGTAGATATACCCGCGGCCGGGTCTAAACGCTACCTGTCTGGTTTCTCAGGCTTGCTGTTCCCGAGCTCCAATCAGGCGTCTAGTGATTATAGAACCTAGAATCAAAGTTATCTCTAGAGGACTTCTCGCCTTTCTTGGAGACTGGGGTAATCAGTGATTTAGACCAGTCAGAGGATCGTATTTGATTCCCATTTACTGGTTAATACTTCCGTTAACCTTATCAGTTTTCATTTAACGAGCCTCTATATGAATATACCAACTAATATGGCACTTGAGACAGCCAGAAATGAACTCACAAATGACCATGAACTCAGTAATAGAACTGAAGTTTCTGCTGGAAAAAGTATACTAAAGATAAAATTATGTTTAACTTCCATAGTTTTCATATTTCAAGACAAAATATATAAACAAACAGAAGGAGTAGCGATAGGATCTTCAATAATCCCCGATCATAGCAGACATATATTTATGGATAGTTGGGAACAAATAGCATTAGGAACATTCCAATCCACCACATCATAAAAACGTATAGTGGCGATATTCAAATGACACATTTACTATGCTGAAATCAGAGTTTTTTTCGCACACATTAACTCGATAGTAGAAGTGATCCAATTCACTTATGAATAAGAAAATGAAGAGGGAGAATTACCACCTATGTTGGATAGCGAAATCAAGAGGAGGGAAGATGGAGGAAACCAATACACATTGGAATAAATACTTGGACTTCACATCATCTCACTCTACATCTGTCAAAGTAGGCTTGATAAAATGTTTAAGTAATTGGGATAAGAGTTTGACTAGTAAGTCGGAAAGCCAAAATACGGAAATGAAATACACCACAACTTATTTTGCTAAACAAATGGAAAAAAAGATGACTACATCGAATGAGACCATTGTGACTGAAGTTCAAAAAGATTAAAAATTTATTAACCTGAAGACAGTTTCTACAAACCAAGATTAACTAAAGTAACATTAGGAAGTAGAGAGTTAAGATAGAGTAGGACGAGTCGCTTACCATATTCAAGATTTTAATGTTACGGCCGTTAAGCTATGTAGTGATATATTTTATCAATGATTAATGTAATCGGAATTCAATTTGGAAGGCGCAGGTCTTCCAAACTTAACCAATGTATGATGCCAAAAGACTAAATGCATAAGAGTCATTGATGCAAAACCGTCTCTATATCTAAATTGCCTATTATAGCGAACAACAGATTATGGTTACAAAAATAATGAAAAAGTTTACCCAAAAGATAGGGAATTCGTAATCACTTGAATGTGATCATTGAACTGAGAACTTGAATTTGAGTAGCTTACTAACTAATCATTGACATAGGCTTGACTAATTTTAAAATCCTTGACTGAGTGGATTTTTTCAGTAACCAAGGTTACAGCATCGTTATAACTTCAGCCAACAAAGGGCGCATAACAGTAGTCATAAATAAGGACCTTAAACAAAATCATCAAAGCAGGACAGATTAGAAAACAAGACCAATAGTGAATGAAATCCAGTAGACCTATTCTCCCATGTTTCGAAGGTAGACCAAAAATAAACAAATCAAACATCCCACTATCACCATTCGTTACACTTCAAGGAACTCTAGCACACAACACTATCAAAAGAACTCTTCAGAAAATTAAAACATCTGGTAGAGAACCCCATGCGACCACTTCCTCAACTCTTTAAAACAATTTTTGGAAAAGATCAAGCAAATGCATATTGATAACGACGAAATGATGGCGTCTTTCAACGTTATACCTCTATACATCTCAAATGAAACGAAACTGGCTAAGGATACAATGATTCTTCTCCTCAACAATGATACAAACACCACAACAATTTGAAGTTTGATGGAATTAACTGATTTATGCTTTACAACATATTTTTAATTCAACAGTAAACTCTACAAACAGATAAAAGAAACATCAGTGGCATCGCCTATATCAGGACTAATTGTAGGAGTAGTTATGTAAAGATTGGAAACTGTGGTATTGCCGTTGACCAAATCATTAGACGGAATGAACTGAAAAACGTTTACAAACTAATCAACAACATTTTCGATGATATCAAATTCACAACTGAAAAAGAATCAAAGAACGAACTTGCATTTTTAGACGCTCTAATCACTAGAACGGATTCGGGGAAATTGGAAATTGAAGCAATACAGAAAACCAATTCATACGGATCAAATCCCCAATAGCAATAGCAACAACCCAGGAGAACATAAAATCAGTTGTTTAAA